CAACCTTGTTATATATAATAAATTAATCTTCCATTTTCAAATCTGGTGAATAGGCTGCCATTAGATCAATGACAGATTTTATTGGCAGAAGTACATCATTATTATGAGTCAACAGCTTCCAACAGCAGCACTGCGAATAGCCATTGTATTGCAGATGCAATAGAAAACAAGTATTTCATCATACAACTATACAGTCATGCAAAATAAACACTTCATATTGTAGGACGTCAAAATAATTTCAACTTTTACCCCTCCTTTGACACACAGAATACACAATGTTTGAGGAAAACTAGTTTCGTCTATTCAACCTTATCAATTCCTCTACAACTGTTGTATACGATAAGCGCGCTTACATTTCAAATGTTACAAACAGCAATAATTTTACAAATTACGTAGCGCGAGCTAAAAAAACATTGTGTTTTCTGTGTGTCAAAGGAGGGGTAAAAGTTGAAATTATTTTGACTTCCTACAATATGAAGTTTAGAAACTCCTTTAAGGTCCAAGTCCGACAAATTTCAAGAAAATAAACACTGTTTTTCTTCTTTTAAGTTAAAAAGAAAGGTGCCGCCAATTTCTCTTTATGGTCAATTGCTTTGGAGAGAATTCTTCTACTGTGTCTCAACTAATAATCCAAACTTTGATAAAATGGTGCACAACCCATTGTGTTTGCAAGTAGAGTGGAGAGATGATGGTCGAGTTGAAGAGGACTTAGAGCGATGGGCGAAGGTAATAGTCACTCTGTCTTGATGGAATTTTAGTAGGCTAAGTAATGGATCTTTACTTTACATCATTGCATTCAGTGTTGAGCACCTACTTTTAGTAAGTTTAACTGGTAGGTCTTCACCTACCCTGGTTCCAGAGGCTTGTCTTTTATTCCCTAGCTTAATATGTTTATYGAGCCATGAAGCCAAGACAAGCCTCTGGTCTCAAGCGTAGGCGATCTCACTTTAATGCTGTACTGTCAAACATGTCAAATACATGAAACCAAAAACAGGTCATCACAGATAACAGATCATATAAACTTCGATCCATGATTGGTTCGCTAGAATATGGCATGAAAGTGAGATTGTCTACGCTTTGAGGCTTGGCAAATCGATTAATGGAAATTTTTCGCTGCTTCACAGCTCAATATGATAGTTAGCTAATAGAATACCGCACCCCTGATTTGGAAACGAGTTTTTTTGAAAAGAAGTGCGGCTTATACATGGGTAAATACGGTAAAGCTGGAACCAAAGTAGTCTTAAACTGACTTGGAATACGTTTTCTTACAAACTTTTTTTTTTTATTTCACACTCTGGTTCAGTAACCACAAACACAACCTGAAACTAATAGAAACTATCAAAACTTCCAGATGCTACCAAATATAGAGCACACAGACAGTGTGAAGGCCTGCACTGTTGTGTGCTGAAAGGCCCATTTACATTTGCGGTTTTTGCAGCTCGATAACTTTATTATTGTGCAACTAAAATCGTATGTGTAAACAGCCCTGCGATTGTTGCTGTGATGGAAGTTGCAGACAATATTTTCAAGCATGAAAACTCAGGCAACGGTCGTGTGACGACCGCCGAGAAAATCACTCTTCAAAAATCGCAAGTCTAAATGGGCCTTAAGGGTCATTAAGGGAACTATGTAGGGAGAGTTTTAAAGGGAGCAAAGTCTCGGGAGTGGGGCAAATTCCTCTCATGTACTGTCAGTGAGTTAAATACAGAGAACACCATAGGTTTAGAAAAAGCAGACGATTTTTTAGATATCGATCAGATTATTAACGAGCTAAAGGCTTCATACTGAGGAACACCTTTGTCATCATTTTATATCTATATTTATCCTAATATTTATTGAATAATTTCCTAATATACGTACTCAAACTGTGACTGATTTTTGACATTTTTATACTAGTTTTTCTCCTTCATTATCGCCCTCGCCTCGAATAGTCTTGGACTAACTGCGAGGGTAAACTTCACATGTAACTATAAGGATAATCCATAAATAAACTGTTGTTGTAAATAAACTGTTGTTGTTGGCCAGTACTGACTATTCTGTCGTATGCTGATTGTTTTAAGGGTCAGACAGGCTTCCCATGGATTGATGCTGTAATGGCTCAAGTGAGGCAGGAGGGCTGGATTCACCCTTTAGCAAGATATGCAGCTGCATCGTTCCTAACAAGAGGAGACCTTTGGATTAGTTGGGAAAGAGGAGTNAATCTGCCATTTTTAAATCTGGTAAATAGGCTGCCATTAGATCAATGACAGATTTTGTTGGCAGAAGTACATCATTATTATGAGTCAACAGCTTCCAACAGCAGCACTGCGAATAGCCATTGTATTGCAGATGCAATAGAAAACAAGTATTTCATCATACAACTATACAGTCATGCAAAATAAACACTGTTTTTCTTGTTTTAAGTTAAAAAGAAAGGTGCCGCCAATTTCTCTTTATGGTCAATTGCTTTGGAGAGAATTCTTCTATTGTGTCTCAACTAATAATCCAAACTTTGATAAAATGGTGCACAATCCATTGTGTTTGCAAGTAGAGTGGAGAGATGATGGTCGAGTTGAAGAGGACTTAGAGCGATGGGCGAAGGTAATAGTCACTCTGTCTTGATGGAATTTTAGTAGGCTAAGTAATGGATCTTTACTTTACATCATTGCATTCAGTATTGAGCACCTACTTTTAGTAAGTGTAACTGGTAGGTCTTCACCAACCCTGGTTCCAGAGGCTTGTCTTTTATTCCCTAGCTTAATATGTTTATTGAGCCATGAAGCCAAGACAAGCCTCTGGTCTCAAGCATGAAGCCAAGACAAGCCTCTGGTCTCAAGCGTAGGCAATCTCACTTTAATGCTGTACTGTCAAACATGTCAAATAAATGAAACCAATAAGAGGTTATCACAGATAACAGATCATATAAACTTCGATCCATGATTGGTTCGCTAGAATATGGCATGAAAGTGAGATTGTCTACGCTTTGAGGTTTGGCAAATCGATTAATGGAAACTTTTCGCTGCTTCACAGCTCAATATGATAGTTAGCTAATAGAATACCACACCCCTGATTTGGAAACGAGTTTTTTGGAAAAAAAGTGCGGCTTATACATGGGTAAATACGGTAAATCTGGAACCAAAGTAGTCTTAAACTGACTTGGAACAAGTTTTCTTACAAACTTTCTTTCTTTTATTCCACACTCTGGTTCAGTAACCACAAACACAACCTGAAACTAACAGAAACTATCAAAACTTCCAGATGCTACCAAATATAGAGCACACAGACAGTGTGAAGTCCTGCACTGTTGTGTGCTGAAAGGCCCATTTACATTTGTGATTTTTGCAGCTCTATAACTAAAATCGTATGTGTAAACAGCCCTGCGATTGTTGCTGTGATGGAAGTTGCAGACAATATTTTCACGCATGAAAACTCAGGCAATGGTCGCATGACGATCGGCGAGAAAATCACTCTTCTAAAATTGCAAGTGTAAATGGTCCTTAAGGGTCATTAAGGGAATTATGTAGGGAGAGTTTTAAAGGGAGCAAAGTCTCGGGAGGGGGGCAAATTCCACTCATGTACTGTCAGTGAGTAGAGAACACCATCAGTTGGCCAGTACTGACTATTCTGTCATATGCTGATTGTTTTAAGGGTCAGACAGGCTTCCCATGGATTGATGCTGTAATGGCTCAAGTGAGGCAGGAGGGCTGGATTCACCCTTTAGCAAGATATGCDGCTGCATCGTTCCTAACAAGAGGAGACCTTTGGATTAGTTGGGAAAGAGGAGTWAAGGTATTTGATTATAATAATACTGCTCATTGTTAATGTTACACTTTAGTTAGTCTTTCATTTTACAGTGAAAATCATTGTATCATGACCTCTTCATTTTGAAGTTTTGACAGCTGAATTATTATTTTTTTCATGCGACCTTAGGGGCAGAGATTTTCATTAACTTTTTCTTTAATTGGCTGATTTGTAGTAAGCTCTACACCCATGTCATAGAAAACCAAAATCTCAATGATAAATTCTTTTGAAATTGGGATACAGGTTAGAGTTTTTTTTGCTGCAAGTCTGACAGTTAAGGATTCGACCCAGTCTTGACGTTTGAAATTAGTTTGTAACAATAGGGATACCTCATGTAGCACTGGTTACAATGAAAAAATATTAGAAAATATACATCATTGATTGTATTTGTGGTTTACAGGTATTTGAGGAGTTTCTTCTAGATGCTGACTGGAGTATTAATGCTGGGAATTGGATGTGGCATTCATGTAGTGCMTTCTCTCAGCACTTCTTCTATCCTCAATGTCCTATAGGATTTGGAAAGAGACTTGATGCTAATGGTGACTACATAAGGTAAGACCAGTTACCCACAGGANNNAAATACTTGCCAGTCCTTAAGGGATTTCCACCTAACTATATACATGAACCATGGAAGGCACCCCCACATGTACAGAAACTTGCTCGTTGTATTATTGGTAAAGATTACCCATCTCCAATGCTGGACCATGAGGAGAAAAGAAAGGAGAACTTGGCTAGAATTGTAAATATTTTAGAATACACTACTGAGGACAAACCAGGTGAAGACCTCTTTGAATGTCTGATATAACTAGACGCTGTAACAGCATGAAGTCAGGCTACGTAGCTGGGATAGTACACATTAAATAAAGGAATAGATTTGTTATTGGAAATTTTGTTTGTATCAGTGTAGTGAAGATCTTTGGCTCCTTTTATTCAAGATATGCAACGGTCTCCAAAACAACACAATCATATATGGTGTCATCTTCTCTAGCATTTTTAATGAAGCAATCACCTATATTATACATTTGACAATTGACGTAAGACATTGTAGGTAATTTCTTGGGCTTCCTGTGTAATTCCCAAACGGGGTATAATAGAAAAGGGGGTATAAAATGGTGTCTCAGAAATTGCAAGGCTCTCCAAAAATTTCCCAAGGATCGCAAGCTTGTTGTTAAAAGAAAGGGGCAGGGATTTTAAATCRCTTTTGGCTTGGAAGCTCGTAATTGCTGAAACATCGGACTCATTCAGCCAAAGGCTCGGCAAGGCTCAGATTTTACTATTCGATACCATTTAGAAAGATAGGTAGATATAATATATGTAGTACTAGATTGATGAAGAGGTAGAACTAAAATAGCCTATGGCTAGAGCAACTAATAATTACTGTCTTTCAACTATCGAAGGTATTTTTTTTCTTTATAGAAATATTATATAAGGAAATAGATGATAAAGAACCTGAACAAGACCTTGATTTTTTGGCCTTGTCTTCGTCTGGATAATAGCAAAATGTAAGTTAATCCTTTAATTTTTGTAGGATATAATAGTTTGAGACAAAACATGGCAGATTTTTTTTGTTTCCTCAAAAAACTGGTCACACAATGTAGTACCAATTTATAGAAGCTGGTGATGTAAAAACGTCAGGGCTGGGCAGGTGCATASTGTCCTTTACGCATATACGCATGTGCGTACTAGTAACAAGGAAATATCAAACTTTTCGGGATTTAAGTAATGTTTACAACATGAACGGGCGTTTTTTATGGGATTTTACAATCTCGAGCCGAAGGCAAGAGATTGTAAAGCCCAAACAAAACAGATGCGAGTGTTGTAAATTACCTGTGAAACGTTTAGGTTTATACATTCATAATCTACTAAAAACTTGAAGATAAAATTGAATTTGGCTGAGAAAATTAGATTTGAAGTTTATGCAAATCAAGACAGTTTTGTATCAAATATTACAACACTCTTCACGGTTGTGATTTCTATTGTGTTTTCCTCGTTAATAATTCATGAGTTTTACAAGTTTTATATGCTCCCGATGCCCCTCAAAATGCATTTCCAAGAGGTATTCCCGGGGAGGATCCCCAAACCCATATAATACTCCCCCCTTTGGTGGTCGTTAGCCCCCCTAATCCAAAATATGTATCTCACTCCCTAATGTGTGCATACTAGCCAAAACATCCACGTTATGCGCCTGCCGGGTTGTTCAAAGCTCGATTAGTTTTAACCCAGGGTTAACTCCATGATTAAAACTAAATGGAACTTTGAACAACCTGGCCCTGCAGGCGTTTATATTCATTGATTGTATCATTGTTTAGTTAACTAGTATATAATTCCCGGGGGGGGACTCACTAATATCAAAGGGCGGGGGTCCTTGGCGGAAAATTATGAAAATGACCTCTAAGAGGGACCTGTATTTGGAGATGATGGGTGTGGCAGTGCTGAAATTTCATCCCTAAAAGGGACCAATAATCTCATCTATTAAGGAGTGTTAAGTGACAAGACGTGAAATTGATTAAAATAAAATCAATCATCTMATTAGCAGCTGTGGTTTTTGATCTCATAATGACGGCTTAGGGACGTCATATACCCTAAAAGTTACCACAGAAATCAGTGGGAATTCTCATCATTATCACCCTAAGCAGGACCAAAATACCGATTTCAAACCCTAAAAGGGACGCCGAGGACCCCCACCCTTTGATATTAGGGAGTCCCCCCCCCTCTGGGATATAATTGTACCAAATCAAAAATTGATGTTAAAATATCTGCCTGGTATTGATTCAATGTGCAAAGAAAAATGTGTTTTCGCATAGCTGAAATAACTAAAGGAACTCTTTATGTTCTTTTTTCCAGATCTTTAAATTATGGAATTACTTGGATCGCAGTCTTAATTAAATATCACTTGTATATACTAATTTTTTTGATTAATATGTGGGTTTTGATAATAGAAGAGCTCTCATTTATTTATGCTCAACAGTACAAATAGACCCTTTGCAGCTGGGGGTCACGTGACCAAACCTACCGTAAATCAATCAGCTATCAAAAAATGATGTTCAGAAATGGAAAGAGGGGGTCAAAATAAGTAAGAGAAGACATAGTTTCAAGTCTCAACACTAAATATTCCAAAAATGGTAGCAAGTATAAAAACTTTTTTTTTTTCTAAAGAAACATTATGCAAAAACACAACTGACTACATGTATTTTCCCATACGTTTCTTTAGAAAAGTTAATATTTTACATTTATTTTGTTGACATTTTTGAAGTATTTGGACTTGAGAATTTGACATTTTATTAAACATAAGCCTGCTCTTTCCATTAATGAACATCATTTTTTGATAGTTGATTGATTTAAGGAGGTGTAGTCATGTGACCCCCAGCTGCAAAGGCCTTAGTATTGCAATACCAAATTCTTTGTTTTCAACTGTTGAGAGTATGTAACACTTAAACTCACTTGAGGAGACTTACATACTATAGTCAGGGTACACACTACTCATGAAATCCTTAGAAAGTCTTGGAAATGAAAACTTATTTTCTAGGAAGCTTGTAAAGCCATTGAAAATGGGAAAATCGCTAAAACTCCGGAAAACTCTGTGAATCTGATGAACATGAACGAACCCTGTATACTTTAGACTGTATAGAACTTTTAGTGGGAGCTGTAAAACAGTAGCCTGTGTTACATGTGGAATTTCTGGAAATTAGACAGAAATTCCGGATGTAACACAGGCTATAAAACAGTTGCATTTTACTAAAAACTAGATTTTAGATTTTAGAAAAAGAAAAAAGACCTACTGTTTTAGTACTTGTTTACATAATAAAAACACAACAGATTCAGAATATCAAGCCAACTATAAAAGTCACAGAAATCTTTCATGGTCAAATTTACAGGGAGGACAATTGTAACCTGGACAACCTAGACTATTTGATAAGTTACCAATGGCAACATTAAAATTCAACAACATAATGAGCTGTCTCTGGCTGGTTCTGCCAAATGGTTCCCAATCAGCTTGTTTTATTTAAGGGGTCCAGGTTAGAGTGTAATCACTGTATATACCCTTGGTAATTTGCATCGCCATTTATTCTTCAACTGCAACTTATTGCCTTGTCAGTCAAACAGTAAAACCAGACACTTTGCCGTCTTATCATTATGTTAACCAGACATTATTGCCATCTTTATCATTCTGTTAACCAGACATTATATCTATCTTAGTCAATCAGTTATAACAAGACATTTACTGTTGTTTTTTTTTTACTTTTTATGAGTTTATTGCATGGATGGTACAGAGAACTGTCAAATAGAGTATTATTAATATACTAAAAAGAGTGCATTTTCAGATTTATGAAAACCTAAAAGAAGTGTACAGAATAAACAGTAAACATAAACAACAACATATGAAGTTCAATTCTGTTTTTCTCATTGGGACCAAACTCCCTCAGAGCAGCTAAAAACACCTGGCTGACATCATTTTCTACTTTACTGACTCTCATACCCAGACCCTATTATAATCATCTTCCAAATTAAAATAATAACTGTTCTTGTCTATTAAAACATCATTTATATCCCTTTCGTGTTTAACGATTTGCAAATATAAAGGAAATTTGACAGCTGTCTCGGCCAGCCTAAAGCTACACCAGCTGACATGTACCTTCTCATCTTAGATGTAAAAAACTGACATATAACTGTAATATTTTAAAAATTAAAATTTTAATAGGGCAGGAATGGTGAATTACAGGGGGGACAGTTTGAAATTGCAGGGGGTGCAGTTGTTTGGGTTGTATTTAGACCTTCAAATCACGTGATAGTGTTACGGACGGACTTACAAACCGATAACAAAGTGGTTACCCGTCTTATAGACGGAGTAACCACAAAAACTAAGGTAATACAGTAATTAAAAAATGTTTGATTGATTGAGCAAAAGTAGGGTCTAGGTACAAGAATAAAGTCATCAAATCTGTGAAACAAAACTTGACTATTACTGTAAGTATAGTTTAAAACACGAACTCAAAGCCGTTAAAATTCTTGGAGAAATTGCAGCCATAAAGATATGTTTTGAGATCAATGGGCCAAACTGATCATACGCGAATCACTTTACAAAGCACTCTTGTTATCCCACATTGAATAAACATAAAGTAAAATAGAAGCGCTCTTGTTACTGAAATCGGTTGACATCCTGCATTGGTCAATGATCAGGTATCAAACCTGAGACCTTTGCTAGGGTCATGGACCTTTATATCTGATAAAGGTCACCCTTATTAGTATTCTCTATATAAAGAATACTAATAAGGAATGTTTTATCAGATATAAAGGTACATGCATGTGACCAAATAGGCTCATTCTATTGGCCTAATAACTCATTAGTTATGTATGAGTTTTTTAAGTAATATATAAAGTATGAGCGGGAGAACTTTATGGGCATACTGCGAGCTGCAAGCGAGCAGTTTTATAGCCCATAAAGGTCGGATGCGAATATTTTATATTGCTTATCAAATTCCAACATAAGGTGAAGCATATTTCGAAAAAAACTTCAGGATAAAATATCATTTGTAAGAGAAAATCGAAGTTAA